CTTGGCGACGTCATCTTAGGTCAAATAACTACTGTCATTAAATGCGACTTTTTAAGCCTTACAACTTTTATTCGAAACATTTTTCTCTAAAATGCTGCCCCGCCGAGTTTTCTTGCTGTTACCGAACTTATGGGACACACTGTATATATATATATATATATATATATATATATATATATATATATATATATATATATATATGCTAATCTATTTTTAATTTATTAGATTACTTATGTCTCTGTTTACAGGCGCATTTTTGGTTCCCTACTGCGTGATGTTGGTAGTTGGTGGTATTCCTTTGTTTTATATGGAACTTGCGCTTGGCCAGTTCAACAGAAAAGGTGCCATAACGTGTTGGGGTCGATTAGTGCCACTTTTGAAAGGTAAGCAAAATCATATGTTATAAAAATATTACACTACCTTATGGACGAAGTTTCTTAACGTTATATCTGTTTCTAAATGTTTTTTAATACATTATATTCAAAAATATTCTAAATAATAATCAGATTGATGTATGTATTCGATTGCAAAATAATTTACACAGTTTTTATCGAATGAAGTGTAACATTTCAAGTTGTCACAATTGACAGCCACTGTTGACGTGCATTTAATACACTCATGTTACTTTATGAAATATTTCAAAATTATTTCAAAATAATATTCTTTTACTTCAAAATACATACGGAAATAATGGGAACTTTAAGGTTTAAAGAAGTTTTAAACATATTAAAAATAAATAAATCAATTTGCTTTTGCACTAAAATATTCTTTAAACAATATCCACTATAAGAAAACTACAAGTTTTACTATGAAGAAAAATATTTTAGAAAAAGAAAAAGGACGAAATTATTGTTTTTATTGAAAACATGAATTAATCTCATTATTCTTTTCACACATAAATGGAGTTTTTCGTTAAATTTGTTTATTTTTCACAATCAGTGATTTTAAAAAGTTTTCATATAACTCATTAAAACGCAATATACAGGATGTCTGACTTGTACCGTACTAGAGCTAATATATAGCCAGAATAGTTCTGGGTGAGTAATAGAATCGGTGTCTTTTTTTAAACGACCACGTAAAATTTTGAGATATTAATGATAAAAGATTTCTACCGAGCGGCAGCCCACTGGCCAATCAGCACACGCGCTGCGATGAGACGAATGGCTCCTGCACATAGGACGCGGTAATGCTTGCCGCGCGACAGCCAATCAATATGTTGTTTTTCTGTAATAGCTAGAAGATTATTACGGAAAGCAGCATATTAATTGGCTGTCGCGCGAACTTCCGCCGCGCTGTAAGCATTACCGCGTCCTGTGTGCCAGAACGCTGTACGCGCTGTAGCATCGGCATGATAGACTAGCCAAGCTAGCCTCCTAGCAAGCATTTTTCTGCATGGTGCATTGTTTTTTAAATACCACGCGCGACATCTGCGCGCTATATTATTGGGTCGCTGTGACTAGAGTCCCTATAAGAAAGAGTCTGGACAATGTCTAGTTTTGAAGCAAAATGGCGTCGATGAGCTATAAATATAGCACGATTCTAATTGGTTGTCCATTGAAGCTGATTCATACTACAGTTGTTAGACAATACAGATCGATGACAGGTTATGTCGTAATTGTAAATATGTAAGTGTGTATGATACTGTATAATTTATACTTATGGAAAATTAAATATAAAATATAACATATAATAATAAATATAACATATAATATTAAATATAACATGAAATATAATTGTAACATTATTATTATAAAATTGTACAACAATAAATATTAATTAATATTAAAAACCTATCATCAATTTGTACCCATTTAAAACTACCTTTAAAATCTACCTGACCGGTTTTATTCATTATGTAAACCTGCAATACTTCATTATACAAAGAGAATGCCCGTTCACAGGTTGTATAATCGCGCTTTTATGCTACTTAAAACGAGAATATGATTGGTTCCGCCATTTTGCTTCAAAACTGGAGCCAATGAAAATTCTGCCCCAATTGGTTAGACTCCTCCGTAACTCTAGCTGTGACTCATGTGGTCCGCCCTCTATCATTCAGCACATGCTTTTCCTTAGTTTTTCGTAATTAATTTCTCGGTTAATATTACGAATACCGTAAAACGGTATAGGATTTTTATGTTTACCTCGACCCGTTCTACGTTCTCACGAGAGCTTTGTAGATTGTTCAGGGACACCCTGTATATTAACTTTAGTATAGTATGAATCAGACATCTTGTGTATATATACAGAGTGACCCGCATAAGACGTCTAAGAAGAAAAAATATAAGCAGAACAGATAAAAGTGAAAAAATATTTGTAGAGGTAATTTTCAAACAACCACGTAAAATTTCGAGATATTAACGTTTCTTATGCGAAACGTCCTGTATACATATAGTTTTAGATAATTAAGTTTTCCGTAAGTAACTTCTAATTTTTAAAAAATTTTTTAACTTCTAACTAAATTAATATTTTATTTTAGTAACTTTTAACGTAAACTCAATTATTTTATAGCGAACTAACTTTTGACTTAACTCACAAGGAATCCCACGTAGGTGATTACCTTTGATTTGGATGAGCTTGAAATATGTTGTAATCTAGACCAAAAGAGAAGACACGTATTTTTATTACACGTGGATTTTTAGAAGCAAACCCATTTTACCAGGCGGACTTTTAAGGGCAAAACAAAACAATTTTTTGAAAACAAACAATTTTTTTCTTTAGGAGCATGTTTCATCAAAAGATATTTTCATATGAAATAGAAAAAAATTTTCTGGACAAAAATTAAATGGTTTTAGAAGTACTTTGCAATGACAAAATCAGATATTTAAAGAATGTAATGATTGCCAATATACCTCGACTACTCAACAATTTTTTTATAATTTTAAAATTTGTCTATCAAAAAAAGTATTTTTTATGCTGACTCCAACCATATATAATAATATGATTTTCTGACATACGAACTTGTTGAAAAATAGGTGAAAATATCCCTATATAACCGTAACGTCGTTATTATCGAGTTAACCGCTTAACTCGATAATATACGCAACATGTACTCATCAAAATTGCTCAAATTAATAGGCGATTAGTACTGATATGCAAAATATAATCAAAATACATTTCAATAAATAAGGACGATAATAATAATAATAATAATAATAATAATGATGTATACACAACAATGTACTCATATATTCACATATATTGTTTATATAAAAGAACACACAT